CTGAGCGAGGCGGGGATCTATCCATAGCCACCGCCTGGAGGCACGATCTCCAGGAGCCTTGGCAGGCGGCGGGTATCTTTAGCGCCCCCCCTGGGGCCCGACCATCTATCAAGATCCATCGCCTGCCGAACCCAGATCTCTGACGTCGTGATTTCTTGTTCACAACTTTGAGCAGGGACCGACCGTTCCGGCATTCCTATCGGCCTACCACGAACCATTCTTAAAACCCGAAAATGTTCTAAGAACAATGCTCTTAGGACAAAACCCGATGTGTTAAAACAAGACAGTCCCAGCCAGATATGTTCTTACAACAGTTCGTGCAGACCACAAAAGGTTACTAGAACATTCTTTGGTAGGCCAATAAGGCGAACCAGGACGCTTCGCCACTGCTTGACAACTCGGACCCCCAGAAGCCTAGGAGGAGGAGGAGGAGGAGGAGGAGGAGGAGGAGGAGGGGGAGGAGGAGGAGGAGGAGGAGGAGGAGGAGGAGGAGGAGGCGGTGCAGTGCAGGATTCCCTTCTCCACGCAGCCTCCGCAGGCACCCCGTCTCGGGCCGCTCCTCGAGGTGACCCCACGGCCCCGCGAGGGCGCCGCGAGGCCAATGCTGCCGCAAGACCTCCAGTTGCGGGCCCGCTTTCACAACGGCCGACCACCATGAAGTTTTCCTGCTGGCGTGCGAGTAACGCAAAACGCCCATGAGAAAAGGATCCATCCCTCACGACATCTCCGCCGCGACCAGGCCTTGGAGGACGCCTTCGATGCAGGTCAGGCCCGCGCGAAGGCCTCGGCGGCCTACTACAAGCAGGTGGGCAAGGGAGAGCTCGTCAAGGCTGAGGGGGAGGAGCCTGGGCAGGCTGAAGTGCAGACGATCCTGGACTTCTCAGTGGATGACCGGCTCCTGGACGCCAACCTGGACGACTACGAGGACGGCCCAGAGAAGGAGGCGGTGTTGGCCTTCCGCGCCAAATTGGCGGACATCCAGCAGGCGGGGAAGACGTCCTTGCAGAAGATCGAGGAGGCAGAGGCGGCGCTCGCTCGGCAGCAGGCAGAGGTTCGCCAGAAGCACGCGGAGGAGGCGAAGCAGCTGCGCGACCAGGCGGAGCAGCACCAGCAGCTCCTGGTGCAGCAAGTCGAGCAGCTCCCCAGCCTGCGCAAGCAGCTCCGGAAGAAGCGCAGGACGGAGGACGGCCAGGCGGCCTCAGGCGAAGCCGCCAAGAAGGAGCCCGGTGAGCAGCCAGCGTCGGAGCCAGGAGCAGCGGCCGCGGAACCAGCGGCTGCCCCAGACGCCGAGGCAGCCCAGAGGAGGAAGCAGGTGCTGCTGGACTACCAGGCGAAGGTCAAGGCTGAGCGCGCCGTCGCTGTCGCCAAGGGGGGCGGCAAGGGCAAGCCAGGCACTGCGGGGGCTGCTGCGGCTCCTGCTGGCGCTCCTGCTGCTGGGACGAGTGCAGGCGCAGGCAAGAGTGGTGCAGCTGCCAGCCAGGATAGACCGTCGCACCTTTGACGATCTACGTCCTGGCGTGAGGCCAGCGTCAGGCCCGGCTGGCGATCGCCAGCTCTTCTTTGCGAATGTGGAGAAGTGGGGCCCACAGGCCCACAAGTACGTGAACGAGTATCAGGAGCGACACCCACGGGTAAGTGTGATGGGCATCTGCGAGACCCATGCCCGACAAGCAGAAGAAGGTCACGGTCGACCTCGATCGGGACGGCTGGAAGACCACGGCCACGGCAGCGCGGCCGTCTGGGCTGAGTGAGACGGGGTGCTGTGGTGGAGAGATGATAATAGCGAGGCGGCATCTGGAGACGACCTCGTTGGATCATGTGCGAGTGGCAGCACAGCAGCGAGGCAGAGACGATCCCTTCCGCGGGTTCGTGGCGACCACCATCCACGCGAAGGCGGGCAATGTGGTCTACGTGACGGCGTACATGGCGCCCCAGTGGGGGAAGGGGTCCCCGAACCCCCAGAAGTTGGCGAGCCTGGCGGCCTTCCTGAAGGCCGTGGACGACCCGTGGATCGTGGCGGCGGACTGGAACCTGGACCCAGAGCGGCTGCTGAAGAGCGAGTTCCCGCAGAAGGTCGGCGGGGTGGTGAAGGCGCCGCAGGGGACGAAGGTAACGTGCGCCAAAGGGGAGCAGGGGTCTCTGCTGGACTACTGCTTGGTGCGCAAGGACTTTGCGGACCAGGTGATGGTAGAGGCGGAGCTGGAGGTGCCTTGGAAGGTGCACTGCGCGCTGTTCATCACACTCAAGGGCTCCTACCAAGAATGGTGGGTGAGGGCGCTCGTGGTGCCCAGGGCGCTGCCGCGGACGCAGAGGCCGAGGAAGAGCACGGACCCCAACAGCAAGACGAGCAAGATGAAGCAGAAGAAGCTGCAGGAGAGGAAGTCGAGACTCCCCCCGGAGGAGCAGGAGGCCTTCGCGAAGCTGTACGAGGAGGATGAGGTCTGCCAGGAGCCCAAGGCGCCCTTCCAGGTGCCACTGGAGTGCTGGAGGCAGGCGGAAGAGCAGCTGGTGCAGACAGGATTTCCAGGTCACCAGCAAGCCCAACCAGCCCATCCAGTCCACCCGCGAAGCGACGCCCAGAACAGACGAGACGGCAACGTGCTCCGGCAGAGCGTTGCCGGAGCACGTTGGGCAACGTGCTCCGGCAGGGCGTTTCCGGAGCACGCTGGGCGAGGGCCCGTTGTGGGCACGTACACGGGCCCGGTGCAGCAGCTGGACGACCACGTCGCCTACCAGGGCCGCGAGGAGCAGGAGAAGGACCTCTCGCATAGGTACGGCAACTGGGTGAGCAAGCTGGAGCTCGCACTGCTGGCCGCCCACGAGGTGGAGGAGTCGGAGAAGGCGCGCTACCTGGGGCGCGGGAGGGGCTTCGACCTGAAGTGGGTGAAAGCGAAGGTCACGCCAGGCAGGGCACACATGAAGTGCCACAAGTCTGACGCCATGTGCTATGCGCTTACGCTGATGCAGAGGTACCAGACGCTCGCGCGTGGCAGGCGCGATGAGGCTCAGCGAGGCCGCGTGAGCTGCAAGCTCAAGAGGATCGCCAGGGAGACGCTGGACCAGGGCATGGCAGACTTTTTCGGCAGCGCGCGCTTCATGGTCTGGCAGAAGATGATGGCCAAGGTCGAGACCCTCTCGGCGGCGCACCGACAGAAGTTGCTGGAGCTGACGGGCGCGCTGGCGGCGGCAGGGCAGGCGCGCGCGATGGGGGAAGCACGAAGAGCCTACACCGAGTGGGTGAAGGAGATGTGGAGCGACAAGATGGGGGTGCTGCACAAGCACGTGAAAGACGAGCCGACCATCATCAACGAGATCTGCATGGGCACCTCCACCACGGCGGACCCTGCGGCGATCATGAATGACCTGGCGTCCAAATGGAGAGGGTTGTGGCAAGACCCGAAGGTGAGCTTGGAGGACATCCAGGGGCAGCTGCGAAGGACCCTGGAGGTAGCGAAGGAGGAGGACTACCCGCCAGTGGAGCCGGAAGAGTTCGACAGGGCGCTGAACTCCATAAACGGCAGGAAAGCGATGGGCGTGGACGTGCTGAGCTCGACGGAGGTGCAGAGGCTTCCGCACGAAGCGCGCGAGGAGCTGAGGCAGCTGATGAACGATGCCGAGGCCCAGGGCGTCTGGCCTCGCCAGTGCATGGCGGTGGTGGCGGCATCGGTTCCGAAGCCTGCTGGGGGCGACAGGGTGCTGGGCATGATTGCCCTGATGCCCAAGATATGGAGCAAAGCTCGAGGCGGTATCGTGGACAACTGGAAAGAGCAGCTCGGGGCATTCTGGGACGGCGCCCTGCGAGGGTGCTCTGCGCTCAGGGCTGCGCTGTACCGTGCCCTGCTCGACGAGGTGGGCAGGGAGATGCAGCTGGCGTCGGCCACTCTCCTCCTCGACCTCCAGACCTTCTACGACACGATCAGCCTGGCGCTGCTCATGAAGCTGGCGGTGCAGGTGAAGTACCCTGCCATCGTCGTGGCCATGGAGGTGGAGCTCTTCTTGGGCCCTCGCATCCTGAAGGACCAGCGCCACGGCATCAGCGAGCTGGTCTGGCCGACGCGCTCGGTGGTGGCGGGGTCCGCGAGGGGGGTATCCCTGGCCAAGGTGTTCATCCACGGGGTGCTGGAAAAGGCCCACCAGGTGGCCCCGCAGGCGTCCCTCTGGACATCCGTGGACGACACGATGGCCCGGTGCGAGGGATCTCGTCAGATGGTGAAGCAGGAGATGAAGCAGGTGGCGACCCAGTTCGTGGAGGGCTTCGTCGAGGAGCGAGGCCTGATCATCTCGAACAAGACCAAGCTGCTGGCGTCGGACACGCAGCTGGGCCGAGAGCTACAGGCGGAACTGGAGTCGCCTGCTCTGCCACTGCAGTTGGCGCTGGACGCCACTGACCTGGGCGGCGACGCGGCAGCTGGGCGGAGGCGCTGCTGCAAGAGGCAGCGCAAGAGGCTGCTGGCGGCCGGCAGGCGCGCTAGCCGCATCACGAGAATGAGGAGGAGCGCGGCTCTCGCCAAGGAGGCGAGGGGGCTGTGGAGCACGGGGGCTTCTCCACAGGCCACCTACGGCCACCAGCTCCAGGGCCTGGCGCCGTCGAGCGTCAGGAAGCTGAGGCAGCAGGCGGGCGCGGCAGTTGGAGGCAAAGCTGGCGGACGCTGCCTCACCACGGTCCTGGCGGCGGGGCTTGAGGAGGACCCAGCCATCAAGCTGCGCATCCAGTTGGTAAACTCGTGGCTGGAGCTCTGGGAGACGGCTCCTGAGGTCCATGCGAGGATCCATAGAGTCTGGCCTGCCATCCGCGGCACGCTCCTGAGCGCCGGCGCAGCCCGGCGCTGGCGGCGCGTGCGTGGCCCTGTCGGCGCGCTCGTGGCAACGCTCATGGACGTGGGCTGGGATCCACTCACTGCTGGCACGTGGAGCAGGCCAGAGGTGGACGGCACGATCACGGAGTGGCACCTGGTGGAGTCGAGCTCGGAGGCCTGTGGGATCTTCATCGATCGGCAGCC